GTTTTTTTTTTAAATCATTATTATTATTTATAGAAGGGAAGTTTCCATCTCTTCTTTGGTACTCTTGAGTACCGTGTATGAAAAATCTAAAATCCCCAGCATCCTTTCTTCCAGAACGCGAGGTGTTGCGAGGCTTGGGCATCAACACATACGCCAGATCATCTTTGAGTTCCTCGTAAAATTCAGTGTTTCCCAATCCCGGTCCTGGAGTTACTTCACTTTTCCTTGTTCCAGTATGCCTGACAGCTCATAGCCTATTTAAGGCTGTCATACTGATTAACTATTAAACTCAATTACTCAATTGAAATTATTATTTTTGAGGAATCTCGAAACCAGTTTTCATGATGAAAATGCATATTTTTTATTTTTCTATTTAGTGGCATAAGTACTTGTGACTGGGCCTCCTTCTGTCTTTACTGGACACTGCAAAAATGGTATCTTGGTATGTGAAATTATCTTAAATTTAGTCGATATATCTGATATTCCTAATTTTTAGATTGTTGTAAGCTTATTATATGATTATTGAAGTTATATCTAGATATTTCTATGTAGGTCAAATTATTGGGAATTAATTTGGCTTGTCTCAAACATATTTCTTACAACAAGCAGAATTATCCACCGATATAGTGAGTTAATTTGACTTACTAAAATTACTTAAACCAAGTAAAAATGTCCAGAAGTCAGTTACATAATCTAATCGTAAGCTTACAATGATCTTGATATGAGAAATATTAGATATATCGACTAAATTTAAGATCATTTCACTTCATTTTTTGCAGAGGACTGCTTATATTACTCCTTACCCATGACTTATGGGTAACTAAAAACAGTATATTTCAGCCATTAGACTTCATTAGAGAACCACCTGGGTTGAGCATATACACAGCAAGTAAACAAGCAAATTGTCATTTTTTTTATCAACTGTAGTAATGAGCAAAAGTCTTAGGCAGACAAGAAAATTGATCGAACTGTTTATCCTGGCAGTAACCAGGTTTATGCCAGTAAAAACACTCTATAACATCAGAATAAAGATGAATTAGTGGTGTCAAAGTTAAAGCATTAATAACCTTAACGTGATAACGGCGCGACTGTGTTTAATGCCGTTAACACATTTTCCCAGTTCAAACCATTGTTCCACTCTGAAGCCCTGTGGGCGGTTGCACCAGCTGTGCGTAAGTTCAAACGTAGGCTAGTTGTAATGTAAGTGTTTACTAAGTTCAGGTTTATGCATTACTAAATCAGGGGTTGCACTACACAATGTAGTTTTAATGTTGAGCTTAGTAGGTACTAAATATGTACGTTTTGGGGAAACCTTTTGAACCACATAGAAAGCACTAAAAAGATGAAAAATGACTTTTTTTGGTTAACTAAGCTAAACACTCTAAACGCTATACACTGTGATTTTATTTACAGCTCTAATCATTGGCCTGGTTTAAACTCTGAGCATGAAGCTAAACACCCACAGCTCCAGCATAGAGACTCAGCTGCTGTTTCTGCATATTTATTATATTTAATTAATATATAGATAATTAGTTTAATTCAGTTTAACTTGTACACATCGTTCTCTTCCATGCTGGATATTTTTTCCATTGAAAAAGTCAGATCCAACCGCCGCTGCATTTCCATGACAGCGGGTTTACTGATCAGTTCGGAATGTTATCGTCATGTTAAAGCGACTTTACGCCCAAACTTGCGTATAAACCTGCGCAAACCTGGAGCAACCCAGTCCAGCTGCTCATGCACTGTTGCTGTGAGTGAGACTAAAGGCCTATAGTTGAAATACAACCTTTAAATTAATTGTGTTATCCGCAGTCTTATCCGCAGAGAGCCTCTGCGGATAAGTAGGGACTCCCCTGCTTTAAGCTCCATTGATGGCTGTCCTGATAAAAGCTACTGCCATGCTGTGAATTCATCACAGAAGCATGTTGAGTATGAAGTATTAATTCCAAGCGAAACACACCACTGATGCTGCAGTATCAGTAATAGACGTAACATTAGCACTGGAGGACGCCTTCAGAGGATTTCACTGGACAGTGCTTGGGGTAAACCTGTAGATCAACAACCCACAAACTAACTAAAGCAACAGCAAAATGGTTCCCCCTCAAAATAAGACATAACAGTATGAGAGCGAGAGGGCTACGGTCATGAAGGAGCCACTGTTGCTCTCACTGGACGTCGGTGATGAGAACTGTATGCTTGTTTACCCTCTGTTCACAGGATTTTCAGTTCATGCTGAATTACTGACAGCTATACATACATTCTGGTGAAGCCTGTCCACTCCAAGCTATAACAAAATGCTTTTTAAGTGAAAGAATCTCTCTTTAGGGTCAAATTAGAACAAATATGACAAATGTGATTAATCAACTCCAATATATAAGGTAATTAATCATGATTGTTTTTAAACAAACAAATACTGTAAAATGTAACAAGAACGCTTTGTTTTTACAAAGTTATTAATATGCTGGTTAGGAGAATACAGTTAGAAGAACATGGGTTTGGTTCATAATGTTTTGCTAGACTCCAGTCCTGATCTGTTAAATATAATGTAATGTATAATGTATGTAAAAAAGTATTGAGTAGCTGAAGCAGGTATTCGGAAGTGTAAATACTGCCACACAATAAGTCACAATGTCTTGTTTATTTTTTTTGTTTGTATTTATTCTGTTCTGTTGTGTTAGTGTGTTTTTAACAAATAAAGGCTTACTGCCCAGATAAGCCTTATGTATCTTTTTCTCAGCTGCCTAAGACTTCTGAAGTCTTCTTAAAGAGTTCTTTTATCTTTTCAAATAAAGTCCATTTTTATTATTTGGCCTTTTTATATAAATATGTTTTCTTGAGTTTGAGTTTATCATAGAAAAACTATAGAGTTAGTAAACAAACCCTTTTCAAAGATGTGCACAGCACCAGGATTGGGAAACACTGTTTTAATCTTTTGAATGTGGTCTTGTTTTGCAAGTTGGCAATCTGAAATAATCAATCCTTCCTTGGATACTCCAAGGAACGGCAAGAATTCGATCCATCATTAGATGTTCTCCTATAAACATGTGCAGCAGCTGCCAGTTCAAAGCAAACATCATGACGCACTGCCAAGAAAGTCGGCAATAAACTGTATGACTTGTGATGTAAATGTTATACTCTATTTTTCTCGGTTTGCATCACAGCAGACTGAGGTGTTCTTTTGATGAGGGGCAGCAGCAAAGATATTGTTTTGATTGTTTAATGTTTCCCTTGTCAAGACATTCAACATCTTTTCAGGTACGACACAATGTTCGTATTGCGTCGCATCAGAGAAAAACCTATTTGGTGTTTCCAGGCCTTTACACACACATACACACACACTCCAGTGATGCAGGCTGCGTTCGTTGCTCGAGAGTGAGCGTGATTTTGGCACCATCCGCAGATTCCCACTGTCTGTCTCTCAGCACACGTCAAAGAGAGTGAACTTCCACGCAATTCCTTTAGCATCCTATTGCTTCATTTCAGTGAAGTGGGTCATCAAAACAGCTGTATACAATCAGGGGCTTCTCGGTTTTTAAAAAGCACTCTTGCTTCTTGACCCTTTTTTAAATATATTTACATGTAGTGACAGGCGAAGAGAGATAGCAGGATAATAGAGGAGAGGATGAGTTTGAATCCGCATGTTCCGTATGTACTCATTTTCTCCTCTCCGATGAATTCCTCCCGCCTTATACGTGTTCTGTCTGTATGACGTTTCTTTCTCACTTTGTCTTGGTTTGGCACTGTTAGAATATCAAGAGACGCACAATGGAGACATGATACAAAAGTACAAAATACAGCGTCTTTGTATGTGTGTGTGTGTGTGTGTGTGTATGTGTGTGTGTGTGTATATGTGTGTGTGTGTGTGTGTGTGTGTGTTTACTGAGAGATGGCAAAACTAATTTGTGAAACTAGCTGTGTTGGTGTATCATGGAGGTGTAAAAATGCATTGATCTGAAGGTGACGATTCAACTGCATCAGTGTTGGGACTTTGTAACTGATGCGCTCTTTTTTGGCCAAAACGAAATTCCAGACTCTTTTCAAAACATGAAAATGAAACAGAAAGCTGAGACTACTGTTTTACTACCTGTAGTACTGTGAGAAGGTCAGAGGCTACCCTTTATTTATTTTCAGCCATTGAGTACTAGTTATTTATTTTTCAGGACATATTTCTGATGAGATGTAAGATATAACCAAGTCGGGGACCAGTCCCAAAACTGGAACTCAAGTAATGCTTAAAAGAAGCAACCATGCCAGATCTAGTAGACCACCAAAACGTTTTTTTTCCCCATCAGATAAACCGTACTTAAAGCTTGCGATCTTTGGAGAAAATGCTTCAGATATGCCAAATTCCACAGGATTCACACTGTGAGAGGACAACTCAGACACTATGGGTCTGAAAGGATGTGTCGCTGTTAAGAAGCTGTTACTGAGAAAAGGAAATAGACAAAAAAGAGGAACATCTGCAAATCAAACAAAGAAGCTGCTGGTGTTCTCAGAACAATGGTCTGACCACCCCAGGGTCCAGACCTCAACAGCACTGAATGTGTTTGGGATTACTTGGATAGTTAAAAACGGAAAATGCAACCAACTTCTAAGACTGAACTTTGAAGGTGTGAAACAAATATCCCTGCTGATTTCTTTGAAAAACTGCCAACTGTTCTGAAAGGTTTTTCTCCTTATTTTGAATGGAAATTACATAAATGAACGGTGGTCCCTGACTTGCGCACAGTACTGTGTATTTCACTATTGTGTAACTAGTTTAATTATGAATCATAGAAATAACTGAATCATGGCAAAAAGATTCCATGATACAATGAATCGTCTCCTAAAGAATCATGATTGAACTGAATCATCAGTTCAGAGATTTACACCCTTGGAGTACTTCAAACTGGGTACAGCATGATCTGTGGTGTGATTTTTCTTTTCTTTCATATATTTTTTTTGTCAGTTTTTTGTTTTTTGTGTTTTTTTGCCATTTTTGCGTGCTCGGTGTGAGTGTATGTGTGTATCAGCATGTCCGTCACACACTCATACATGTGTCTGCATTCTCTGGGTGTGTCTTTGAGAGTATTCCGTTTGCGGGGACGAATAGGAAAAACGTGTCGAGCTTCCATACTTTCCTAATGCAGGGTCTGGCCCCGCCCCTTGACTCAGCCCCACCCCTTGACTCAGCCCTACCCCCTGTCCTGTGGGATACATCTCATAGGCCGGGCCTTCCTCCAAGGGCGGGGCGAAGCCCAGCCTGTACTGAGAGTACTGGGCCGTGGTTGGGTAGCCGTAGCTGTCGTAGGCAAGCTGATTGGTGGACTCCAGAAGGCCACATTCTCTGGAATAGTCTGTGGTCTGAGGAGGCGGGTTGGGCGGGGCTTGGCTCTGTTTGGTTCTGGCGATGGTGTTGAAGTGTGCGTAGGTGGTGTGGGCGATCCGGGACGGTGGGCGTGGCTCGTAACGACCGATGGGGGCAGGGTTAATGCCGGCCGTTGGCCCAGCTGCAGAGGCAGAGACGGAAGCTGGGTTTGGTGGGCGGAACTCCTGGTAAAGCACAGAGCGGGAGCCCGGGTGGATTTCATCGTGGGTCGTCGCTCGGACGTTGTAGTAGCCGTTCGTGGGGTCCTGAAAGAACACAAACATGCTGCGTTATAGCGCTACTCATCTGAACATGTGCGTGAATAAAAAATTAGAATTTGCTTCTTGAAAAGTTGAGTATGTCAAAATCTTAAGAAAAGAGCATATAAATATTGGAGCCAAGCCTGCTGGGATTAGTTGTGAATGTGTATGTTGGGGAAGCTAAGCTGAGCCCAATTAGCTTTTCAGTATGCTGCCAACATCTGTCTTTCTTCTTAAGCTTCACCCAACACTTTTGTAGCTACTGTTGTGAGATTGGACACAGTGTTTAATGAGAAACTGTAGTATGTACTGTTTTTTTAATAGGTAGATTTAGAGTGTGTTAATAATTTCTAATTTATTTTGTCACTCTGTTAGGACAGATGGGGTGTTTTTTTTTGTCACACAAAAAACTTGATGGTTGATTGACAGCCTATCATAAAGTTCATCAGCTCCTGCTGTTACAATGTTTCTAGCAAAGGGAAACTCTGTCTGCCCTTAGTTATTCTGAATGAAGAGATTTACCCAAAACATTTTCTGTCTCATAGTTGCTACGAATACCAACATGGCAAAAACAGACATCTCTTATGAGTTTTTATATGTAATGTTTATGATGGTAAAATAGTGCTAAATTGAAAAAGTTTTATTTTTTGCCTTAGAAAGCCTAAAGGACTAACTATACTGTCTTTGTAATGAATCATGCAGTTGTTTGATGTTGTTTATGTTGTGACGATATTCACAATATTCTCAGAAAAGCATATTGTGACATAATTTATCGCAATACCAAATAAATATTGTCATATTGCTCAGCCCCTATGTAATAAGACTGCAAAATGTTAGGTTTTGCTTGTATTTCTAACTGCACATGCAGTGTTTTAAGTTGTATTATGTTTTATTCTATAGTATGTTAAATTTAGCAAATAAACAGTAATTGTGTGTTAAAATGTGCAGTGGTATGTTCTCTGTGGAGGATGTGTTATATATAACTTGCACATATCAAAAAACGTCATTTGACCAGGGGTGCCCAAACTATTGCATATGAATGTACATCACACTTCGCTACACTCTGCAACATGAGTGCCTTAATGTGAGCATGTTGCCAAGAATGCGTTGTTATGGACGTGATTGAGAAGGCAGAGGTAGCGTGGCTTTATCACTAACTAGGATAACTACTCTAGCTATATGAGCTCAGTCCAGAGACAGTGGAAATATATTTCTCTGACAATCTCTGGCACTTCATCTACTGAGGAGAAAAAGCCTTATGTAAAATGTGGAGTCCTCATCAGCTTTCAGTGATGAACCAGTTAGCTGTAGTTTTAGCTCACGTCTGAAGAGGCAGCCTCCGTTACTCATCCAACATGAAAACCACTACTCTGCCTTTTTTTTTATAATAAAACACATTTCCAAATGTATTTCGCCTCTTAACACCAGTGCTAATGCCCAAAAGAGCCCTGAGTTAATTTCAACTGAAGCCATTTTTACCAGTTTGTCAACAGTTCTGCATGGTTCTGCAGGAGTTCAGATGTAAACAAAGTCTTTCAAAGCATTTTAGTCTGAGAAGGTGCACAGTAGAGAAACGTAACACCATAGACGTCTTTACAGTGGTGATGGGAACCAGGAGTCACCATGTCCACAACTCAAATACAGCCTTTGTTTTACTATCCAAAACCACCAGTGAACCTACAGGTGTCTTCTTAATTTTTATATGTAATGTTGATGGTAAAATAGCGATAAATCTGAAAAAATGTGGGCTTTTTTTTGGCACTATTTTGCCTTCTAACATCCTGCATGTACCTCTCTGCCATGAAAGGTTTTTTCTCAAAACTATCATTAACCAATGTAACTAATCAGTGTGTAACATCAAGAACTGTCACTCATTGTCTGCAATGACACAGTGTGTGTGTGTGTGTGTGTGTGTGTACAACTGTTCAAAGCTGTGTTGTAACAGTCACTACTGAAACAAGTTTCGGCAGTGTCAAGATTATATTGTTAGTGGCACAATGGAATGTTCAATCATTCATTTTAATAAAATAAACATAATTTACATATATACATATATTAAAAGTCTGAAAAGTGTTTTCAACTCTGACTTTTAAACCAATGTGATTATCCATATAGGGTGTGTATGTGTGTGTGTGTGTGTGTGTGTGTGTGTGTGTGTGTGTGTGTGCGTGTGTGTGCGTTTCTCACCTTCAGCTCGTACTCTTCTTTCGTCTCCAGCGTTTCGCTGCGCACGTCCTGCTTCAGGTCCATGTCGTCTTTGAAAGGCTGAGTGGAGGGAGAGAGGGAGACAGAGGGAAGAAACTAAACCATCAAAACACCACAAAACACACACACAAAGAGAGGAGAGGGAGAGAAGGAGGGAGGGAAGAGGAAAATACGACATCAGGTTGATCAGCAGAAGAAGAGAAAAGAAAGAAAAAGGTAGAAAGGTAGCTTTGGACAACCAGTTCTTATTTCACCGTCATTATATTAAGTTCATTGATTCATTTCATTCTTTCTTGGAGGCTGAGAAAGCTGTGCTGCTGATAGCAGATACTTCCAGAGCCTGATTACAATGTTCAGGCTGGCTTTAAACGTTCATACAACTGGCTGCATGTTGTGTGTTGCCTGCAACATAAGTCCTGTAACTACAGCTAAGCAGTTACACAAAGCAATTCAAAATCAATCAAACTTGCACAGAACACAATATCTTTCTCACAATAAAGTCATCCGAGTGGTTTTATTCATATATCGGCAGCATTTTTTTTCATCTTCGTATATTTTGTTCAGCTGTCACTGCATTCTTTTTTGTCTATTATTTATCTATCTATGGTTCTTTACTATATTTGTTTATATACGTGTATATGTTATAGCCTACTTGTCTGACTCGTGCTGTGCTTACGTATGAGCACAGTTTGGTCACCTGTAATAATTTTCATCATTAGGTCCCAAATGAATCTGACCTCTGCACAAAATTAGGGGCCGAAAATTAATCTAGATGCATATATTTTGCATAAAGCATGAACAGTGGCACAAGCAGCTCTTTACACAGCTGTTAGCTTTATCTGAAAGTTAACACAGCTGGTTACAGAAGCGTTAGCTTCCAGAAACTCATGTTTGTCATCAAGGCTCAGGAAATCTTGATTCAGTCAGTGGGGGTCTCCTTATCAACCGCCCAATAAACCATCTTCTGTTTTATTTTCTTGTCCATTGATTCAGTGAAATATGATAGGATGCCACTTGACATGATCACATGATGTGTTATTGCTGTTTTAATTTCTTGAAACTTGTTCTATGAAGTTAATACACTTGCAACAGTTGCGGCTGAGTTTCAAATGGGTTGCAGGTTTCAAGCTACTAAAGTTGCGTGAACGTTTCACCATGTAAAGCCAGTCTTAATGTTTATTTGAATGCTTTCCACGTTTAAGAGGACAGTCATATAGTACACTAGTAGTAGTAGTGCTTTTGGTTTAATTTGGGACAATATTGTGTACTCCTGACACCCGGACAGCCCTAAAGGACTTGTCTGGAGGGCTGGGCGTAAGCTCCTTCAGGGCAGCAGGTTTACAGCAGCATGGTTTGATCATGGCATGGTCTGCTCTATGTTGTGCGCTAACTTCCCTCTTCTTCCAGCTTTAAGTCACCCCAAGCTTTTGTTTGACTTCAGTCTGGTTCCTCCATAGAAAGTGCTTTCATTTAGGGTTGCACTGACTTGTTTTATTTCTGATCTGATACCAGGTCAGGATGGGAAATTTCAGTCAAATAAGTCAAATCATACCACTCTCAATGACTTTGTGTACATCTCAACCAGTGAACTTGGTATTCCTCTTTAACAACTCAATGCAGTTTTAGGCCAAAGTGTAATAATTTTATGCATGCAGATTTCACTGTGTTAAATAGAGTAAGCTTTTAATACATGTTAGTTCTATTAGCCTCATAGTTCCAGTACAAGAACAAGCAAACTTTAGACACTCAACATGTCTTGACTGATCAACTAAGGAGAAAAACTGTAAATTTAATTTTTCGCCAAACCTTTCCAGTAAAGTATGAGATTAGCAATACTCTAGATGCAATCCTAGGTTCATGTGATGAACTACAGAGGGCAGTTTGTTGAATAGTTACAATAAGACTGTGGCTCAGGATGTGGAAGTGGCTGTTAGTCCCAATGAAACGCCCAAAAAGTTTGGACACATGATTTTTAATTATACTTTATTAATCAATAAAAAAGGCGTTCTTTCTATGAGGGCCAGACTAAACTGAGCAAACCGGAAACTCACAGGAGTTTCAAGAAAGTGGTTTGATGCTACTCTTCTTTTGGCAACCACAAAAATGTGTATGAGAATGAGCTTTAACGCTTCTTGAGGATTTCTGCAGCTCTGAAGAAGAGAGATGTTGCTGTCCACTTACTAGCACACTCACAGAATACATTGTCTTTACCATGCGAGTTGCCGTGGAGACGCTGGCCGAGTCTTCCTCGAGGCTATGTGTCTCTTTGTTGACCGTCTCAACCTTGATGTCCGGCTTCAGCGTGACCCCACGACGACCTGTACACAAAGCAAACGCCTCAGAGGAAACTCTTTATTAGAGAAGCTCTATTCATCACTGCACTTCTACACTGTCTTTTAAAAGAAACAGATACAGTAACAATGTAGATACACTCACTGTATTCATTCACTCTTTAATCCCTTAAAATCCCAGGCTTAGTGCCCTCAGATTCTTTAAACTTCGCTTTCGACTTTTCTTTGACAAAGTATCTTTGTTTTCCTGCTGTTAACAGCTTATGACTGCTTATTGTCCTCATACTAAAGTAGAAGGCCCTCATACTAAAGTAATGGACATTTTTTTTTATTTCAACACTCCTGTGAAGCATCGTTACTTAACAACAGTAGATGGGTAGTGAAGAACACCATTTATCAGTTCTATGAACGATATATTTAAAGAATTATCACTTAAACTGAAGTGACCACTTCTGTATGTATTTTCCCCTGTGTCAATTTATGTTACTTCACAAAACATCTTGTCACCTTGTGAATACTGACATAAGCTGTTCGTGAAAGGAATTCCTTCTTAAATAAGCTATTCAGTGAGTATGCATTTAATAAAGTCCCTTATGTAGGTAGACTTCAAGTAAAGTGTTGCTGCCTACAGTGTGACAAAACAGAGAGCAAAGCTCAGAATATTTACACAAACACAAACACCTTAGTGATGACTGGAACACAAACTAGACGCAAAACACAAATTACAGAGACATTCAGAAACTTTCAGACGTGAAACGCATGCATGCTCTACTCACTGCTTTTGCGCTGGCGGTAAAGGTAGAAGGCCAGAGCGAGCAGGCACAGGATCAGCAGCATGGAGGATCCAACTGTTCCACCAGCTATTATTCCCACAGGCACGATATCTGAGAGAGAGAGAGAGAGAGAGAGAGAGAGAGAGAGAGAGAGAGAATAAAGGGGGTCACAGAAATTTTAATTTAAAGCTTCTACTTACGGACTTCATAAGACATGCCTAACAGTTTATAACTCACAGAGATTCAGCCTGGGGCCTGTGATCAGTAACTCTAGAGCAGCCTGCCGTGGTAACACATTCCTTTGAGTGTATAGATCACAACAGTGTTGCACTCAAGAGTCTTCAGTTATGCATTCATACAGTGAGGGGGATCAAGTATTCAGAGACTTTTATTTGTGTTATTTAACATTTGCTGAGAACATAAAAAAAAGCTCTTGTGCAAATTGTACCTGGTGTCATTCTAAAAGACACTGCCATTGGCTGGGATGTTTTCATACAAGAAATTGCAGTCAAGGTGAACATGAAGTTCTCAGATACAACATTGTTAAAGAGTCAAATGAAAAAGGCTACAGAGCTCTAACAAAAACATCTTTGTCAACACAATGGTTCGATGGTATGAGAGTGAAAAGGTAATGGAACCACAACTAATTGTCCCCAGACAGGTGCACCATGCAAGACTTCACTATACACTCCCAGCCTAATGATAAATGAAGTAAGAGAGAAGCCAGCAGTCACTTGAAAAGAATTGCCGGATGACCTGAAAGCACCAGAAACAAGTTTCACTAAAACAATAAGCAATGAACTGTACTGCAATCCTACACTGCATGCAAAACTCCCCTGCTAAAATGTGCATGTGAGCATTTAGACAAACCAGAACTCTTTTGTAAGAATATACTCTGGTCAAAGGAAACAAAAATACATTTAGCTCATCATGTTGGGAGAAAGAAGAGTTGCATGTATGATCCCAAGAACACCAGACCCACAGTGAAGTATAGTGGTGGGAGCATCATGATATGGGGCTGCTTCTCTGCAAACATCATTGAAGGAAATCATGAATGGAGCGATGTACCGGGACATACTGTAGGAGAATTTAATCTTATCGGCCAAGAAGCTGAAACTGAGAAGATGAACGTTTCGACAAGACAACGACTCAAAACATATAACCAAAATAACTCGAGTGGTTTCTAAAAAAAAGGTGAACGTGTTCACCTTGACTTGAATCCCATTGAAAATCTTATTTTGAAATTGTAAGTCTCCCATGAGGGACCCTTGTAAATCTTGTGGAACTGAAGTCAGTTTGCCAAGAGGAATGGGCCAAAATTGAACCACAATGCTGCAAAATGCTAAGAGGTTCTTACTATAGATGTCTCAAAGCTGTAACTGCCAGCAACAGCAAATATCCTCATTTATGCTTTTGACTACACACGTTTTTGGTCATATTTGTAATGAGGAACATACTTTATTCAAACAGTCTTTATTTGTTTTCAAATAAACTAAGGAAAACGATACTTTCAGCTGCAGTTGTGCTTTAGACCCCTTCCCCGAGGGGATGAATCTGAAGATTGTGAGTGTGTTGAAAGAGTATTCAAAGAGAAAACCAAAACACAGTGAAGGCCGTGTCTTACGAGGATGTGAGTGAATTGTCTTTTAGTATCATCATATCTTCATCAGTGTAATGTTGATTTTGCAGTTGAGATCTAAACATCAAACCAGACCTTCTTTTTGAGTTTGTGCTCATGATGTTAATATTCAACAATGTATGATGTGGTCCAAAATACTCCTGCGAAATCTGACCCAATGCCTCTGACTTTTAAAGGATTATTTTAAGCTTTACAGGGCAACGTGCAGCAGCAGACGCACTCTATATTTTAGTGTGTTTTTCTCCTGAGTCAGTAAAGCTACTTCTTTCAACTCAACAGTGCTGATTTGTTGAACATGTTTGATAAATGTGAGTGTTGTCAAATACTCCAAAATATACCTAAATATACAGAATACATGTAATGTATATATATATATATATATATATATATATATATATATATATATATATATATATTTAACAAGAGTGCAAAGTGTTCCCAAATGAACATGCAGTTTGTGCATGTATGCTCACCAGTCTCCGCTAGAGTGATGATCATGGTGCCCGGGCCGAATGAATTCCAGGCAGTGCAGTTGTAAGTGGTCTGAAAGTCCGACTCCATGACGTTGTTGATGGTGAGAGTGGAGAGAACGGCACCCCCCTGTGACACAGGCTTACTCTGCTCTACTGTATACCTCTCCAACAGAGTTCCTCTCTCTTTCTCCCACACGTTCTCCTTCCAAGCCCACACCTACAGCCACAAAACATACAAACAGACATAAAGTAAATACATATTACACTCTGTGTAATAATATAATAGCTTGGCTCAGTCCTGAATATGGTCTCATTCATATTCTGAAAAAAATGATGCTCGTCAAACATTCTGTAACATATAGGCCTAATTTGTCTCCTGTGTTTTATAATGTGGCCACACGGTGGCACTGAAAAGTCTCCTGTAGTGCCGTGTTTTTGAAGTCAAATGTATTAAAGCTTAAATAACTTTCCCAGGGTGCGGACGTCTCTCTTTCTATTCCTCTCTCTCTCTCCTTTACTCTTTCCTTCATTGTCTTTCTCTGTTCCTCTCCTTTCTGTCTTTCTCCCATGATCTGTTTCTATTTCCCTCCCTCTTTATTCTTTCATTCTTTTTCGTCTTCTTTTTCTCTCCCTCTATCAGTTTCTATTCCCCTCTCACTCTTCCTTCTCTCTCTCCCCTTTCTTTCTCTCCTTTCTGTCTCCCCTTTTCTATTTCCTCTTTCCCCTTCACTCTTTTCTGCTCTCTCTCTCTCTCTCTCTCTCCTTCTCTGTCTCTCTCTCTCTCTCACTCAGTGAAGGTGTTTTAAGTGCTATAAGCTCAGCAGGTTTTTGTATGTGAAGTGAGCTAAAGCAGATCGTTTATGAAATATGAAGAACACGGTGGTTAAATATGCACACCTCGCTCTGTCACAGATAATGTCCCTCTTAAGCTGGAGAAAGAGAAACAACAGGGGCGGAGAACGTAAATGAAGAACAAAAGGAATTATCCATCTCTCCTCTCCTCACTTCTCCTCTCCTCCACCACCCCCCCTCATTCATTTCATTCTTCATATTTCATAAGAGCCGTGTCTGTGCATTAGGAACCATCCTGTGATGTCATATCGCATTATCCACATGGCAATCACATAGAGGAGAGACAGAGAGAGAGAGAGAGGGGAGAAAAAAACAAAAGCAAGAAAGAAATTCTGGAAAGAAAGAAAGAAAGAAAGAAAGAAATAGAGAGAGATACATAAGAGATAAAAGGAAATAAAATAAAGAAAAGAGAACTAGAAAGAAAAAGGTACACAGAGCACGAGAAAAGAAGGAGAGAGAGAGAGGAAAAGGTAAAGAGAAGAAAGAACGAAATACGAGACAGAAATAAACAACTGAGAAAGAAAGAACAAAAGAGGGAGAGAAAGAATAAAAAGAAATAAAAGGAGAAATAAAGAGTGAAAGAACAAAAAGAGAGAACAAACACACAAAGAGAAAAATAAGAATTAGAGAAAGAAGAAAAAGAATAAAAAGGAAGGGAAAACAAATAGAGAGGAAAAAAGAAAGAAAAAATAAGGGCATTTACTTGAATCCATTAACATTGTGAAGTGGAAGAGGGAGAGAGAGAAAGAGAAGGAAAGAGGGCAGGAAGTAGAAAGGACAGAGAAGAAGGGGCGATGAGGGAGGGGAGGAGAGAGAGAAAAGAGGAGTAGACAGTTAGAGCTGAGTAAAGTGCTGAGATTGTTAAAAGCTCTCACTCGTCTGTCATGTCCTTCTGTCTGCTGCTGATGATCCACTCTGAAAGCTACAGCGCTTTCTTCTCAGCTGTCTCTCTCTGTTTCTCTCTCCCTGTTCTGACCCTCCTCTTTCTTCCGCCCCACATCAGTCTCTTCATCTGCTCTCGTTCACTATGATTCTCTCTCTTCTGTCTTTTCACTGAGCTCTGAGTTATAAGCGCACAAATAAGTGCAGGACCCGCATTTACTTTAAAGCCAGATAAATGGTCGGGTTTGGAGTTCAGCTGAGATTGAAGTGAAGTGTACAATCCTGTGTGTGTGTGTGTGTGTGTGTGTGTTTGTGTACTCACAATTTTGTCAGGAGGGGGGGTGCTGGCAATGTAGCATTTGATTTCACCCTTCTCCCCCCTTACAGCGTACTGGATGGGTTCACTTGAAATGATTGGCGGGCCTGCCGACAGATTAGAACAAAAGAAGCACATCGTTACTACTTATTTACTTATATTAAAGAAATAGTTCTTCGACAAATCACACATGAGATGTAGCTGAACAGCCGGGACATGTTTTGTGTCTAAATTTTCTTCTTTAGTTTAGAACTGGAGCAATGAGGCTAATTTTGCTAATCAATCACTACAATCACTATCAATCACTACAACCCAATAGTCACCCAAATAGCCCAAATCTGTTCAAGTACATCACCGAAACTTCTCTCAAATCACATCCAGCTCTTCATTAAGACTGTGTTGACTTACAATGTGGTTTAGAGCACAGTATGACTGTGGACTATAACCATGAACACAACTTCAACTCTATGGGCATCCAACAATACCAGGGCTGGTCTTGGATCAGATTCCAGCCATATTTATGGTGGTCACAGTCACAAATACTGACTCGAGATCTGCTCTCCAAGCCTGAGGTAGTTTGTGAATACAGACCCTGTTGTCTACAGTGGCTGCCCACAGCATTCAGCTACATGGTCATACTGTGTTTTAAACCACATTAACAAGTCTGTGCAACCTTCATTAAGACCTGGTTGCGGTTTGAGCAGGTTGAGAGAAGTTTTGGTCATGTATTTTTACATAAACAATTTGGGTGACTATTGAGGTCTAGTGTGTGTTTGCAATGTTAGCCTTGATGCACTAGTTCTAAACTAAAGAAGTCAGTTTTGGACTCCAAACATGTCTCAGCCAAACTCCAATTTGGGGTAAGTGGAAACTTTCTGCCAAGTTATTCCTTTATGACGAGTTTATTTGGTTTGTACAACTGCAAAAGCCCATATGTAGAAGAATACTTAAGTTCTTCAAGCTCATACCTGCAAAACTGATACATATGAGTTCCCAAATACTTAAATAATAGTACTTTTTTGCTATACTTATGTGTTATTTTGGAAGATTTGTACCTTGCTCAAGTATAAATACTTTTCGACTTTCACTGAAATATAAGTTTAGCTCCATAACCAAACTTTTAATTGAGTGTGATTTTGATGAAGTACTCATATTTTCACTGAAGTGCAGAGAAACTCCTGTTAGTTTCTTTAGTTTCTGGATAATAAGCATTAAGATTAATACCTGAAAAATAACCCTGCAGATTAAAAAATGGTTTGGCAAAAAGTCCAATTGACACAGTTTTCCACTAACGCTAGATGCAGTTCATCAACCAAGACATGTTGGTGTTCAAACTTTGCTTTTTTAGTTTAAAACTAGAGCTACAACATTAACGCTGCTAACAAACACTAGAAGTCAATAGTCACCCAAAATCCTTTTTTTAAATACATCCCCAAAACTTGCTGAAACCGCAGGCCTATCTTCAATAAGGTCATGCAGGCTTAGGACACAGTAAGATTGACTGTGAACTATAAAAATTAACCAGATTTCTTTACAGTTGAATGCTGTGGTCAGCTATTTTAGACAACAGTTGTTGAGCCAAATTCTGATCACCCTTCACGGGCATGCACGCCACACAGGCATATAAACACTAGATTATATTCACTGTTTCAGTTGTTCCTATTTTTAACATATATCTTCATGACTATAGTCACCCTACATGTAGTGGGTTGAGAGAAGTTTTGAGGATGTATTTACGCTAAAGATTTGGGTGACTATTCACTTCTATTGCCTTTGTTAGCCTTGTAGCTCCAATTTTAAACTAATGAAGCAAAATTTGGACACAAAACAGAAATGAGTGTCTGTGTTTGCATTTGTGTTAACTAGTATACACGACTAGTGTGTGTGTGTGAGTGTGCGAGTGTATTGTACTAACCATTTACTGTGAGTGTGACCTCTGTCTCCCCGACTCCAATCCTGGGCACGATGGCTTTACACACATACTGCCCTGCATCCGCCTGACTCACCGACTTCAGGTACAACTGATTATTATTACTGAGAACCTGAAAAGACAGAGAGAATTACTGTTACAAATGAGTAATGAAGGCTGTATTATGGATGATTCAGGGTGTAACAATGCACCTGAAACAACCTGAAAATTGACTTATCCATGTTCCATCTTCCTTTGTAGCAACTGTTGTGAGGTTGGACAAGCTTTACTGACCCTTGGCAAAAATCATTTTCAAGCTAATAAGAAACTGTAACTCAAAACTTTGCTAAAGTGGCCACATTTCGAAAGTTTTATTCATTTCAAGTGACTTTTATTTGGCATGTGAAAAGTATTCAAATCACAGTATTAGGATGGATCAGGTATAGTTTTTTGTCATGCAATTGAGAATTTAGAATAAACATGATAGGCTAATCTTAAAGTTTGCCAGCCTCGGCCACTTTTCACCATGTATTATACAACATTAGCTGCTGTAACAAGTTACTCTAAAGAGATCTACCTACTATATTTTTTAGGGATGCATTGATGCATTTTTTTTAAGACCAAATACGAGTACATATTTTTTACTAAGTGCATATTTTATACCAAGTCCGACACCAAAATGAGTAACCTACTTAGAAAGTAGTTGTTAGTGTAAATGAGTGCAACGGACATTCAAAATTAAATTATTAAAATTATGCTTTAGCAAGTTAAGTTACATAGTTTCCTTGAATCTAATATCTTTGAGAAGAGCGAGTTTTATTCTTATTCTAAGCTTGCTTGTGGAGTTTTTCGTCTTGTTGGAGTCTTTTGCTTGACTGGCTGAGCTGTAGTTGAATGTTGAAGCCACTCTGTGATTTTAGAAATCTTGTTCTTTGGTGAGTCACACTGTATGTTTGAATAGACCATTGTGTACAGACAAAGCCTACGATCTATATGCTCACACTGTATGAAAATGCACAGTCTGATTAAAGCAGCCTCTGTAGAGACAGCCTTTACAGACAGCTCTATCTACAGACAATTATTAATAAAGCTGTTTCATGCTGCATGTCCAAGTACTGAGCAAACATGCTGAGTTACAGCAGCTCGGCTTGTAGGACAATACGGCTTGATAGGACAATAAGGTCTCTCTACGGACTAACATACAAAGACAGTTAAAAAATCACTGTATTAACCTTTTTATCTTATAATTCTATTCAGTCAAGCGGCGTGAAGTCGGCATACACTTGGCTCGTCACATGGTATCAGCTGGAATCTTGTATTTTTATGAATACAAGTGCAAGGAATTGAGCTCAGTATCAGGCCGATACTCCATACCAGTATCAGTGTTGATGCATCCCTAATATTTTTCCTGCCATACTTGCCATATATACCAACACTGGGACAAAAACAGACAGCGCAGTTTGCCTCAGTCTACATCAGTAAAGTGACAATAGAAAGAGACAAGCAGAGGCGGAAATGTTTCTATATCATACAAAGCCACACAGACTCTGTAAACATACGGGAGGACTCAGTATGGATATTTGCTGTAGCTGTAATGCTTGCTTACATTACACAACAAAAACTACACCTGAACAGTACAGCTGTTACACAAATGCAAAATAAAAACAATTTAATATGAATAATAACGCCCACTAAATGTAGGTTGTAAACTACAATGTCTCATTAGGTTGAATGGGATTTTTGACAGTGTTCTGTAAAAATAGGTGTGTGTGAGTGCACTCGTACCATACTGGAGCCTTTCTTTGTCCAGGTGAGTGTTAGAGGAGGATTTCCAGCCCATTTACAGTTCAGAGTGACATCAGAGTCCACATCCACCGTCACTGGCCTTGGCTCCACCACCAGGATCGGACCAACTGGACAGAAACAGTCAGAAGAAGCAGAGAAACTGTAATACTGTGAAACACTGTGACAGACAGGTGAGGGTGTGAGTTTGATAAAGAAACATTCATAAAGAATGCTTAATGGAGATGTGATTGAAGTAAAGAGAGGAAGGTAGACAGAGAAAAGGGAGAAAAATGAATAATAAACATTTAGAAATAAATAAGAATGATGACCAAAGGGGAAGGAATTTCCTCCAGACTGCAGAAAAACATATAATCTAGTGAACTGGTGATGAAATAAGCTCCTTATAGTCTTATAGCTCCATGATGAAGCCTCAGTGGAAAGAAGTAAAAATTATAATTATTATTATTATAGGGTGCTGTTCTTAACCATGGTAAACTCTGATAATAACAGTGTAGTACTTTGAGTGGTTTTCTTTTAGCATTTACTGAATGGGACTGGCCTTCCGCCCAATGACAGCTAGGATAGGCTCCAGCACCCCACCGCGACCCAGAAGGATAAGCGGTTTAGATGATGGATGGATGGATGGGACTGCATTTCTGTCCAATTTATACTGAGTGATCAGACAAAAACTTATTTCACACCAACAGTTTAAAACTTTTGGAAAGAAGTGGACAGATGTAATACGATGAAGGAGGATGGACGAGTGAGGGAGTAGATGCATGGACAGATCAAAGGATGGATAGACAGATCACCTGCTGGATGGGTTGACAGCTAGATGGATGGCTGAAGAGGTGGATGTTTGAGTAGGCAAATGTTTGGATGGGTGGATGGAAAGAAAGTAGGGGGATGGATAGAAAGATCATCAGATGGATGAATGACAGATTAACAGCTAGATAAATGGGTGGATGGATAGATCAGCAGATAAACAGATAGATAAGCAGATGAATGGACAGATCAAAAGGCAGATGAACTGATGCAGTGGTATGAAAGAAGTTTGAACACCTCTGGTCAAATGGCAGGTTTTATTGATTTTCTAGGTGAAAATAAGTTGACAGATTCTCTATAAGGTACAAATAAATATGGAATTTCTGCTGATATTAATGCACAATTTTTATTTGTTGACTTTAACATATAACATATAAAGTATACATTATTTTTTTACATTATTTTATACATTTAGGAAATATACAGTGACTGTGCATTAAAATGTGCATCAGTGTGTTTTCTGTAGAACATATGTAAACTTATTTTCACATAGAGAATCAATAACACGTAATTTGATGGATATACAGAGAGAGAGATACAACGCACAGTGTACGTCCACCAGTATGCTGACATTGGTGCTGCCCACAGCATTAAACACCTGACAGGAAACAGGCTCAGTGAAGAACGAGTGATCTGCTGTCGTCACAAACACACTCTCCCGCGCTCCCTCCAGGATTACTCCACCTTTAGCCCACCTACAACACACACACACAGTTATTATATCCATCCTCTCTCTCACATCCCCCTTTAAACTTCAGTCATAGTTGTCACCAGTGATACCAAAAGCATGCACTCAAAAGAAGGATTCTGTCAGAAGTGAGGATTCTGAACCTTTCTATATTTGTACTGAGCCCCTAAAGTTACACTGTGAAAAAAATTGCAACGATATTGCCTTCCCTTGCAGTATTTTTGCATTACTGCACAAAGCTTTTGTGTTCACTTGCAAAAGTATTGCTTTCCCTGTAAACATTTTGTATCCTCTTGCAATAATATTTTTACATTCCCTTACAAAGTTTTTGTCTTCACTTGCAATAGTTTAGCGTTCCCTCTCAAATGTTTTGCATTCTCTTGCAAAATCCTTTGCATTTGTGAGGAAATGAAAATTATTGCAAGTAAACGCAACGTCATTTTTCTGTTTTAACCACTGCCCCATATGGGCTTCATATACTTGTGTTTTTATTATAGTTTAAGTCTGAGTCAGCCTCCGTCACTTTTTACCATAATTTCTAATCATTGTTTGACACAAAATAGAAAAATGTCAGAAATGCAGGCCTCAGCTATCGATACAGAATATAAATTGAATACAAATGTACTTCATTATCTAACTACATAATTCATTATTAATAATTATATAATAATTATAACAACTAATAATTATATAATCACATAAGTACATTTAAATTGTATAAACAGTAAAGCAAGTAAAGAAAAATGACAGCAATAACTTTAGACTTCTAATGGTTACACACATACACTTACCTGTAGCCCATGACGGGAGGGTTTGCTGTAGCTTGGCAGGTAAACGTTACTCTCTCCCCCTCTAGAACAGAACGGGGTGAGATTGATAATAAAACCGTAGGGGCATCTAGAGAGAGAGAGACAGAGAGAGCTGAATGAGCATTCCAATTAAAAAATTCCATTATATGTGATTCTTAAGGTTGGCTTTACACAGTGAGACTTTCGTGCAACATTAGTTGCTTGAAAACGATGTGAAAGTGAACTGGATTTCACTAATAACAACTGGATTTGGGAGGTTGATGCTCATAGCATTCCTGTTCTTGCCACACTTTCAGTTTCACTCGGCTGTAGCGAGAGATGTGAACTGCATGCTTTCCCAGAAACGCTTCAGAGACGTATAACGGGGCATAAAACAGTAACTTTGTAAGCACACATTCCTTGACTTAGCTAAAACAGTGATGAGCAACACTTCCATTCCACAACTGGATATTCCGGCCATAATCTCAAGATACAGCAGAATAAAGCTGGAACAACAGCCACAGATGATAGAAATGCTGCAAATATGTAAATTACACCTCATGAATGACTTTATAGTGAGAATGATACCGTGTATAAAAAAAAATACGAGCTGCAAATCTGGGTGTCTAACAGAGAAACTGAAGGTGTTGCATGCAACTTTAATCATTTTTGAATTCTGTTGCAGGCAAATCACAATATGCAACAAGCTGCGCTAACGTTCCACCGTGAAAAGGCAGACAGAACATTCAGCTCAAATTCATCTGTAGCTGCATTAAAGAGTTAGCAGAGCTCATCAGTGTTTACATTAGTGTGGATGTGTATGATGATGGGGGTCTCCCAAGAGAAAACTATTCCCAGTCTGCCTCTGGACACACACACACACACACACACACACACACACTAACAGGACTTGCATCATGAAGTTCATTTGTTTTGGCATCTGAGAACATATTTTGTGAGCACATCAGCTGCCCTGTACACTGTATGATCATTTCATGACAAATGGAAATGAAAGAAAAAAAGGCTTTCAAATTTTTTTACACTGTTTTTTTCTTCTCCTGTACAGTTGCTGTTTAGTAGATGCACACACTCAAAAATGCACACACACACGGACTTACGGTGGACGTTAAGTGTGATAGTGGTCCGTTTGCCCAATGGCACGGCCAGGTTAGAGGCCACACAGGTGAAGTTGCGTCCGGTGTCTGTATCCACTGGCTGGATGGGCAGAAAGCTACGCGTGGTCACACGCTTCCTATCAGGTAACACCTCCTGAGAGAGAGAGAGAGAGACAGAGAGAGAGAGAGAGAGACATGCAGATACAGTTATTGACATAAATTTGCTCGCTTCAAGATGTAATACTTGAAACTATCTGCCAATAAAATAATTTCACCAGATAAAATGACTTAAAAATGGAAAATACACTATTTTGACTTGATTAAGATGATTTCACCTGCCAAGATATACTTTTTGCAGTGCATTATATCAGTGGTCATTGAGGAGCTTCTGCACAGTACTGTAGTACTTTTGCTAGCATATTCATGGTGTTAGTAGGGGATGTTTATAGTTACTGTTATAATTAAAGTAATATGTTATATACAGTGTGGTCCAAAAATCTGAGTTGTTTATTTCAAACCTGGAAAAAACAACAGAAAGCTTTGGAATTAAAGAAAACAAAGCATAGAAAAGTTCTTATAGATAAATTGAAGAGGAAATATTAGTAATAATAGTTCTCCACTATTTCTGCTCGAGTGCACCCTGCCTTTAAAGCAAAAGGGGGACAAACCAAATGCTAAGAAATGCATGTTAAAATTTCAAAGATTCTACGTTTCACTGAAACTGTTATGCTGATAATATTCGTAATGAGAAAATTTGCATTAAATTGGAAAGGAATGCAATATAGAACAATGTATGGGACCCAGACTTACGGGCCCCACTGTAAATAACTATGTATGAAGGATTTCATTCATTTCAGTCCACTCCAACAACATATATCATGAAAAAAAAGAAATTTCTGAAAGTGCTCTATAATGTGCTATGGAACGAAACTCCTCATATAGTTACAGTAGCTGTATTATGTGTGGTGTGTGTGTGTGTGTGTGTGTGTGTATGTGTGTGTGTGTGTGAGTGTGTGTGTGTGTGTGTGTGTGTGTGTAAGTGAAACTGAGTCTGTATAAATGTGTGTGTGTGTACTCACAGTGCTAGTATGGGCTCCTTCTACTATCACTCCGTCTTTGTACCACTCTATAGTAGACAGCGGTTTGGCTCCTCGTGACACACACGTCAGGTTATAGGAAACTCCAGCCATCAGCAGAATTTCTGGAGCTCCTTCTATCACTGGATCATCAGGAGGAACTACCAAGACAGAAAGCACACAATCACACTATTAACTTCAACATTTTCATTACAGAGTCTTATTTAAAAGACTCAGAGAGCAGCTTTAGAGGGCAATATTTTCTCTCAACAATGTTGATTTGTGTACGTTTACTGAATCCTGTAATTCTAACAACAAATTTAGCCAGAAACAGTATGAGGGGAAGAGTAGTGGGCAGTATGGCCAAAAGAGTAAATCATGGTATAATCAGGATTTCTGACTGTTCTAGTACATTTCACAGCATTTTTATAGTGTATATTTTTTTCAAATTAAACCATTTTGGATGATTAAAACATTTTTGTAGATTAAAAATGGCCTATTATTCTGGACGTCCCTTCAGTTTTAATAAGAATCACTTTAATAACAACTGCAATGATTCTAAATATTTTTAGTGTAAATACATATAAAACAGTAGTTTTGCTGTGTTATCTGTGTTTGTTACGGCAAAAATGGGGAAAATGAGTAACTCCTGCCATTCTTCAATCACTATTATGTAGAGCAGTGGTTCCCAACACATTGTAGTGTTTACCTACCCCAACACACCTGATCCAACTAATCACCTAATTAACAAACCCTTCCCGAGTTGAAGTTGGTATGTTTTGGTAGGAAAACACAACAGTGTGCAGGGCAGGGGGTCCTCCAGGACCACGGTTGGGAACGACTGGTGTAGACTATAATTCTAACTTCTAATTCTAACTAAAACTGGTGAACACTGTGCTTAGCTTAACGCTGTCTTAAAAAGCTTAAACAGAACTCCTGGTCTATCCTAACAGTGAGATGTGCAAAATAAAAATCCTTTGAAATGAATAATGCAAAAACCACAATTACTCATTAGGCTGAACGTCATTTTAACAATGTTCTGTGAAGCTTGCAATGAAAGAACACGTTTGTGGGCGGAGCCTGGAAAGGTGGCCTGCACACAGACAAACACATGCAGAGTGAGTGTGAAGTGAGCTCTTACTGAGTACGGTGAGTTTAGCTCTTCTGGAGCGAAGAGCAGCTTCAGTGGCCTGGCACTCATACAGAGAATCGTCCGACAGCTCCGCCGAGGAAATCTCCAGATTATACTGACCAACGTCCACTATCCGCAACACACGGTAACGAGGCCACGCTGTAACACACACACACACACACACACGCCCAGATTATACTAACCTGCCATTTTATTAGGTTTATCTACTACACACAGTCGTCTGCAAAAGTTCGGGCGCCCCTGGTCCAATGACGTTTTGTTCTGAAAATAACACGTCCTCTACAGACAACATACTTCTGCACATTTAAAAACACAGTTGGAATTTATTTGCTGAATGTAAGATATTGGGAAAAATAATGAAACATAAAATGTAGCCTTTGAAAAATTATAGGATATTTCTCATTTTGTGTTTTATTCTTTTCCAACATGTTAAACTCAGCAAATAAATAGAAACTGTTTTCTAAATTTTAAAATAAAATTCTAAAGTGTTTGCAGGAAATGTCTTATGTAGGTTTGTTATCTGTAGAAGATGATTATTAAGATGATAAATTATTTATTTTCACTTAGAAAAGCAACAAAACGTCATTTGACCATTTGAGTTCAAATGAAGCGTTCAAACGTATGACTTTATATATAGTATAACAATACAGAGTGTTAAAAAAAGTCAGAATTCAATTTGATTTCATACAGTGTCTTGATTTTATTTGACCTTTTTCAAATAAAAACAGCAAAAATAAGGAGTGGCTGAAAATGTGCCTCACATTAATATGTTCATATATTCAGTTTATTAAAGCACTCAACATTATAAAAGTGCAAAATCTGAAACAAAAGCTGGTCCTAATCTAACACTACCGCCACAAGCTAACACACTAGCCACATGCTTACATACTAGTCACAATACAGTGCTACAATACAATACAGAACGATATCATATGTTTCATTGTTACAGGCTGGGTAAATAATATTGGCCCACGTTGATGCTCCATAACGCTACATACATACATACATACATACATACATACATACATACACACACACACACACACACACACAACACTCACACACACACATGCCTACATTACACTGCCCGATCTTCTCAATCAGAGAGAGTTGTCTGCGGCTGCTTGTAATATCATGTTCTATCCACCAGAGGGCGGCCCAACACTCCAACACATTGACATTCTGTAAGCGTTCTCTCCTCACACACACACACACACACACATTATGACATCATTGATCTGAATGGGGGGGGGCACCAAAGTATTGGCAACGATTACATCATCCTTTAGCTCAACCAATCCACGCACATAGCCAACGTGTGTGTGTATGTATACGGGTGTGTATGTGTGTGTGTGTGTCTGTGTGTGTGTGTGTGTGTGTGTGTGTGTGTGTTCGCACATCTATAGGTGTGTGTCAGAAACATCCATTTTCATTATGATTAGAGGGCTGAAGTAGGACTAACAGGAGACAGAGAGTGTAAGGACACGAAGCAAAAAGGACAAAGAAAGAAAAGAGGATGGAAGGATGAGTCTGGAGACGTAGAGAGTGGCGAGGAAAGAAAAGAGCGAAGGAAATAAGGAGGGAGGGAACAAAACAGGGGTGTGTTGGGTGAGATGTATTGGAGGTAATAGCGGTGGGTGTTATATACAATGGCTCAGTGTGTTTGTGTACGCACCGTGTGTTTGTGTGTGTGTGTGTGTGTGTACATGTGTGCATGTGTGAATGCATCATGCGTGTGTGGAGATACTGTATGTGTATGAATGAACAAACATTGTATGCGTGAATACAGTGTATGTACAAGGCAGCGTTCAGTACATAGTGTATGTACACAGGCTTTGTAGGTGTATGACTGCGTGTGTGTGTGTGTGTGAATTGTGTAGGCATATGTATGTGAAGACACTATGTGTGCACGCACTGAGCATGTACAGACAGGTGACGAATACCATAAATTGTCCTCAGTAAGGTGTTTTGGCCACAGCAACCCACCAGACCAGCTTCAATGGGTCTTAGCATAGAGTCTACAAGTCTGTGGAACTGTACTGGAGGGATGGAACACTGTTCTTTCAAAAGATATTCCTTCAATTGGTGTTTTGATGATGGTGGTGGAGAGCGCAGTCTAACACGTCAGTCCAAAATCCCTATAGATGATCAGTTTGGTTGAGATCTGGTGATCTGTTGCCCATAGCACATCATTCCTACTCAGACCTCACGGCCTTTTTGTGATTGCTGCAGGCTAAAATGCTTTAATTTTGCAGCACATCTCATTATTTACATCAGTATTTGCATTTGTGGGAGGGTGTGGAAGCATATTTTATATATTTTATACATAACTTGTTTTGAATGTAGCCTAGTTAGTTCCTAAAAACAAGGGATAAACAAATTGGAAATTAAGTGTACCTCTAATATATAAGACCAGCCATACAGACTCCAATTAAAACAGTATTTTAACACTGTTTTAAATTCTCAAAGAAAACATGGTAAATTGAAATGACGTAATGAAACTACTTGTATACAAAATATGCATCCTATTACTACAGTCAGATTTTTAGGAAAAATGAGTAAGAGAAGTGCTCTGACAGCACTGTGTGTTATCTAAATATCTAAAAATAATCTAAAAAATTCTCTAAAGGTAATGAGCATATCAGTGCTGTCCAAAAAAAAACCCCAAAAAATGTCCATTTTTCTATTTTAATTTTTTTACATCAAATGAGCACAACAGGTGTCATTTACATTGTGTCAAAATTCATGATGAATAGACCAATAGAAATGAAAAATTACTTAAGTAATATAAAATCTCTACATTAACTTACATTAAAAGTGAAGAATGTTTTTGCCTTCTCCTATAAATCTACCACTTTGGAGATTCTTGTTTTTTTGGGGTTTTTTTCAATTTGAAAACAACTTTACAATTCCCAAAATGGCTTGGTGTGCGAAATGGTGAAGGATGACTTTTCTGACTGTATCACTTTTTTCCACAGCTCAGTAGATCAATGCCAGTGTTTTGCACCTGTCTTAGTAATGAGGGGGTTATACACTGATATCCTCCTACAGTATCCCTCTCTCTGTTATTGTGGATGGACTGTTCCTGCCGACACAGCCTGATCACATCCTGTATTCACATTCTCAGTCACCTGAGGAACAGCTGCTCTCCCAACCCTATACACAATTTCCGACCCTGTACACTGAGGTCTTAGCCATAGATCTAAATGCAAGTGTCACTTTAGTCACTGTTCCTATTGAAACTCTAGTCAGTTGCGCAGTCTTTGTGACTGAAGCTGCTGCCATCCGTGTCCCAACAACTGAGAACTCTCTTTCAAAGACACTTAGATCTTTTCCTCTTGCCATCTTGATCCAAAATTGAGGTCAACTGGGCCTGCTCAGCATTTTATACATGCCAGAAAGCATAGCAGGATATTCATTCATGAGGTAAACCTGTCAGGAAGCAACTACACATATTTTATGTTTCTCCATGTGATTATTCAGGATTTTCATTATATTTGTTCCCATTCTTTAAAATCACTGTCTGCTTGATCAGCTCTACTTACCATATCGGGGCATTTAGTTGTTCTACAATTACAGACTGTAGTCCATCTGTTTCTCTGCATACTTTCTTAAACCCCCCACCTTTAATCTGTTTATTGATGGGCAATCAAGACCCACACAGGACCACCACTGAGCAGGTATTACCTGAGTGGTCATTTTCAGCAGTGTTGCTGGGGCTTTTAAACACTTTGGTGTCACTACTAGACTGAGAATATTCCACCCACTGATGAAGGACTAGAGGATGATTAACACAAACTGACACAGAAACAGATGAGCTATTATTTCTGACTTTACATCTACAAGATGGACCAACAAGGTATAGAGTAGACAGTGAGTGGACACAGTGTGTAAAAACTCCAGCAGCACTGCTGTGTCTGATCCACTCGTACCAGCACAACACACACTAACACACCACCACCATGTCAGTGTCACTGCAGTGCTGAGAATGATCCACCACCCAAATAATACCTGCTCTGTGGTGGTCCTGACTAAAGAACAGGGTAAAGAAATAATGCAGAGACACAGATGGACTACAATCCAGAGTAATTCTACTACAGTTATATGGATGTGAACCTGATAAAATGGACAATGAGCGTAGATACATGGAGGTGACAAACTGGCCAGTGAGTGTGTGTGTGTGCTGTATGTAGTGTGTGTGTGTGTGTGTGTGTGTGTGTGTGTGTGTTTCTGTTCTTACCCCTCAGGTCCTCTCCAATGCCCAGCGCGAGTCCATCTTTGGTCCACTGGACGATGCCGGTGTAGTTAAACACCACACAGCTCAACACCACTCGCTCACCCAAAACAACCGACTGATCAGCAGGCTCCTGAGAGAATCTCGGCCCACACACCACTGAGAGAGAGAGAGAGAGAGAGAGAGAGAGAGAGATTCAATGAAAGTCTTAAACTTTATCACACATTTAATACCCAAAGAGAAATCAATACATTATAAGAGACTAAAAGACTGAACATGATCCTATGAATGTGAACTGAATCAGAGGCTGTTTTCATACATTTGTATCATCAGGTGGAAACACATTTATCAGCATTCAGAATATTCTCTCTTTCTTTCTCTTTTTCTCTTTAGTTCAGTCTTTCTCTCTCTATTATTCTCTTCTTATATCTACCTTTTTTCTCTCTCCCTCTGTCTCTCTCTGCCTTTCTATTGTTTCCTCTCCATTTTTTTCTCTCTCTCTCTCTCTCCCTCTTTCTCCCTGGTCCCCTCCCTCTTTTCTGTCTCTCCCTATATCTGTTTCTATTCCCTTCTATTCCCTTTTCCCCTCTCGTTCTCTCTAGCCCCATCATTCTCTTTCTATTTCTCTCTCTTGTTTTTTTCTTTCTCCATCTCTCTTGCTCTCACTGTCCCTCCCTCTCTACCTGTCTCTCTCACTGTCTCTCCCCCTATATCTCTTACTGGTCCCCCCTCTGTTTCTCTCAAGGTCCCTCTTTCTCTCTCTCTCTCTCTCTCTTTCTTTCTCTCTCTTTCTTCCTTTCTCTGTCTCTCTCTCACTGTCCCCCTCTCTCTCTCTTTTCATCTCTCTCCCTGCCTCTTTCTTTCTGTCCCCCCCTCTCCATTCTCATCTCTCTCCATGCCTCTTTCCTTCTGCACCCCCCCTCTCTGTCCCTCTTCATCTCTTTCTTTGTCCCACTCCATCTCTCTGTCCCCCTCTCTCTCTATTCTTGTCTCTCTCCCTGCCTCTTTCTTTCTTTGTCTCTCTCACTGTCCCTCTATCTCTGCCCCCTGTTGCTCTTACGATCTGTCTCTCTCTCACTCTGTCTCTCTCAAGGTCCTTCTCTCTCTTCTTCTCTCTCTCTCTCTCTCTCTCTCTCTCTGTCTCTGTCTCTCTCTCTCTCTCTCTCTCTCTCTCTCTGTCTCTCTCTCTGTCTCTTTCTCTCTCTCTCTCTCTCTCTCTCTCTCTCTCTCTCTCTCTCTCTCTCTCTGTTAGAGCAGTAGTGTAAGTTAGGTGAGGTAACTGGTTAGTAGGTGAGCTGATACAGAGCAGGTCATCTTTAGAGGATTACTGTATGAAGCGGAGAGCAGACAGAATCTCCACACTTAACACTCTTACACACACAGCTCCTTTGTGCCACTCTCATAATCCGTCTCTTTGAAGACACTTCTGAGGACGTCTTCATTCCTCATTGTCCAGTGATTCCCCTTCGTCCTCACCGGACGTTTATCAGCTCCTCTCGTGTGAGGTGTGTGTGCTGTGAGTGTGTGCAGTTCACACTCTCAGTGTTCACGCTCTTCTGTCTCTGAGTGATCAGGTACGACTCAAGAGCAGCAGAAGATCAGACAGACCGCGTGTGTCCGGGGCGATTAATGAGTGATGTCATCTCGTTAAGTGTCTCTAACGACTGTCTGCAGTTAAACCTCTCCACCAATCACAGAGCGCGATGACATCATCGTCTGGGTGCTAGGCCAAAAAATGTCTCATGGAAAAGAGCAGTTACATTATTCACTTCAGTCTCAAAGAATCCCTCTCCCTCTCCCTCTCTCTCTCTTTATCTCTCTATCTCTTCCTTCCCTCTCTCTATCTTTCTCTCCCTCTCTCTATCATCCTTCTCTCTCTTTCTCTCTTATATTTCTATTTCTTTTCTGTTTTCTCTTGTCTCTCCATATCTCTTAATATGGCCAGTTCCTTCCACCAGAAAAAGTAGTACTGTTAGCCTTTTGCTTTATGGATAGAGTGTTTTAGACACTTTACAGCTTAATCTTAATGTCGTTTTGTTCCAGACAGTCTGTAAAATAGTTCACAGCCCATCCTGTTTGCCAAACTACATTCTGTTCATTTGCGTATATATAGATACTTTAAAATCTCACAAAAACAAAGACAAACGTGTAGAGTTTGGGGGTTTTGTTCAGACACCAACAACAAGTGAGTAATTATATGTAATAAGATTGTGTTTTCATTGCTCTTATAACACTTTAGGGCTCTACTTAAGGACATCATAAAACATTAATCTTAAGACTTATTATTCAGTCACTACTATAAAATATTCAGTACCTGCTGTTAATCTAATCTGTAAGTCGTGTAGTTAAGAGAGTGAGAAACTGATGTGTGGGCCTAAATATCAGCACTCAAGGTTTAAGGGGTTAACCTGAGGTCTTTTAAGCAATTATTCAGCCAAAGTCAAATATGTAGTTTCGCAGTACCCCAAATGTAGCTGATCAGCCAAGTTTGGGGTATAGACAAAATTCAGGCTTCAGGATGGCTGCTGCTACTGTTTCTAGCTACGCCACTTAGTTTTATCTGTTCATAGATTATAGTATGTCCTACAGTGTCAGATAACCACATGAGCAAGTCTAATTGTAACATTTTCCTTGTGCAGGCCCTCTGCAAGAGGTACTGACATATTGAGAAAAACAAAAACAATAATATAAAATGCATAACTTTTGCACAGGCCACATTTTATGCTTTTTCCAAAATGATAAATTTAGCCAATAAACAGTAACAGTGCATTAAAGTGTGCAGAAGTGTGTTCTCTTTAGAGAATGTGTTCAATTAAAATCAACAAAACATGTAATTTGACCTGGGACACCCAAACACATATATTTGTATAGCATACTATCTTCTATCATTATATATTATCATATATTTATCAAATGATTAAAGTTTAATTGTGATTTGTCACATTGGAAGTAATTGCTTAAATTTGAGCCTAAAGAAAGACTTTTTCCAGTTAAAAAACATTTTGTTATGTATATGACTGGACAAAGTAAGTTGCATTGGAATGTATTTATTACATTTAATAATTCATTAACGTTATTTTTATCGTGTGAACACGGAGTTCACATGAACCTGAACATGAAAAACAACTGATTTTCTATAGACTGAACTAGAGTGAACAAGGTTTCCATGTTCTGTCTCCTCTGTGATTCTAACCTCTGGCTCTCATCCTGTTAATGCTACACCTTGTTTCGAGGGAAACGGGAGCTTTCCACTCTGCTGTTGCTTTTTTTAAAATTTACTGCTCGTTGATTTATCTGTAGCTCTTACACGAGCATTGATATTACTGGCATCAGCGGTGTGATTTGCATGTAAATGATACTTCAGACTCTACGTCCTTCAGTGCTTCCTTTGGACTCTACGTCCTTTAGTCTTTCCCTCTGACTCTATGTCTTTCAGTCCTTCCCTCTGACTCTATGTCCTTTATGTCCACCACCCATCCAGGAATTTCCTTTAGTTTTCTTGTCTGTCTAGAAATAATTGAAAAATATCCAGGAATTTGATCATTTTCATATGACAGCATTTCTTACGAACTTTAAACTCCTACACTTTATGCAATCAGATCATTTGTATACAAAGAATAGGTTTCATACTATCCTCAACACAGTGACAATTGTTTGCACTTTTGGTGTCATGTTTAGTCAATATGCATCACTGCAACATGAAAACTAAGAAGATTAGGTTCTGTAGCTGAACTGACATCCATCTACCCATCCACTGAATTAAGTAGCAGATCCAAGAATTTAATCTGAGATATTTTACCCTCTACAGTCCATAATATCATCAAAAGATTCAGGAAATCCAGAGAAATCTCACACACAGAAACCACAGCTGAACACCTCGGACCTTTAACCCCTTTAGACGGCACTGCATTAAAAACTGGCATGCTTCTGTGATGGACATTGTTGTGTGGGCTTGGAAATACCACTGTTGTCAGTAGACACTGCACAAACACAAGTTAAGACTTTACTATGCACAGTGGAGGTCAAACATCAACAGTGTCTAGAGATGCTGCAGACGTATGTGGGCTAAAGCTCATTTGAAACGGACTGATGCCCAGTGGACACTGTATTGTGCCTGTTGTGGTCTAACAAGTCAACCTCGATTGTTTATGGAAATATTAGATGTTGTGTTCTCTGTGCAAAAGAATAAGATGACTATCCAGATTGTTACCAAAAGCCAGGGTCTGTCATGGTATGGGGTGGGGGTGGGGTGTGGGGGTATTAGTGGGTAACCTGCACATCTGGCACCATTAATGGTGAAGACATTTTGGAGCAACACATTCTGCCTTTTAGACAGTCTTTTTCAGGAACGTCAATGCTTATTTCAACATGACAACACCAAGAAATGTTCTGCACCTTACAACAACACAGCTGCATAATCAGAGAGTGCAGGTGATAAACCAACCTGCCAATAAAGGCCCTGTACAGGTTGCACAGCTATAGCCTGGTATAACAAAAAAACTAAAAAAACAATAATGCTTTCAGAACTGCATCAGTTTGTGTCTTAAGTCGCCACACGATTGTTAAGTGGCCCTGTCTCAATTTGTTTGGACGTATTTACAAAAAGCAATGAAGTTCATACAGTAAAATGTAAAATATTGTGATTTTGTACTGTTTTAATACAGGACAAACAGAAATTACTAATCACTGATCACAAAGTGGGGTTGTATGTCCTTTAGTGATAAAAAAATCTGAGCATAGCAGTAGCTGGAAATAACTTTTAATTATTATTGAGACAGCCATCAATGGAACTTGCTATATAAAACCTGTTTTTGAGGGCTACTGTCACTGAGTCATGGCAACCGTGCACAAGCAGCACGGTGGAACTATGGCTTGTCTTTAGATACAGACATAAGAGAAAAGACAGAAACGCCTGTGAACATTGATTAGTGGAGGAGTAACTAACTAAACACTGGTAGGGACATAAATGTGTAGTTGGGACTACAGAGCAGACATGAGAGGAGAGACTGGAGAGCCAAGACAGGAAAACTATAACAGATTGATAAACAACTTCAGGCATGATTCAGGCATGCAGCTGGCAAGATGCTGATTGGTGGGTTATGAGCTTCCATTGCTTGTTAGTTACATGAGCCTCATAAAGAGGCAAACTTCAGACACCA